CACTTTGGCCAGTGTGCTGTGGAAGAGCTAAGTTGCGCTACTCAGGGGTCACTTTGGCCAGTGTGCTGTGGAAGAGCTAAGTTGGGCTACCGGGCGTACTGAAGTCCAAAGTTCTAAAAATCTAACAACCCCACAGTCCTACGGGTGGGGAACAAAACTTTTGCGACTCCACACCCCTCTCCGGATTCCTCCAAATTCGCCGGGCCCGCGTTCCATCGCACGCGTTCCCGAGCGCGCGCGTGCGATCTCTCGGGCGACAGGTCTTTGGCGATGGCCGCCAGCTCCGCGGTCTCCAGCGTCTCCCGGCAAAAGTCGCCGTCCTCGGAGGGCACGGAGGTCTGTGCGGGCGGGCCATGTGCTGAGGTCGGCGCGGAGCTGCAGTTGTGATGATGTGTGCACATTGCCGGGCTGCATGCGGTGGATGTGGTGGAGAATGGACATCAGGAGGATTTCAGCACAAGCTGATCATGAGGGTTGAATATACGATTGTATTGTGTATAGATGGGAAGGGGGTTAAAGTCAGGAGGAGTTCACGGATGTTGAGAGAAAATGCCACCGCTTAAAGGGCAACATATTTTTTCAACCCTAAAACATTTTTTCAACCCTAACCATTTTTCCAACCCTGCAACATTTTTCAACCCTAGAACATTCTTTTGACCCTGTAACATTCTTTTTAGCCCTTGCACACGCTTTTTCGACCCTGGAACCTTCTATTTTAACCCCGTCACATGGTCTTACAACCCTCTAACATTATCCCAATCAACTTTAAGCTTTACCCGGTTTCAACTGTTGAGCAAGCTGTGAGTCAAGGTCGAATGTAATCAGCAACTAGCTCTCGGGACTTTCCAAACAGATTTAGCTCTTGCGAGCATGGATCTAAGTGTGTGCCGCAACCGGGTCCCACTGAGGTCTAGCGTGTGGTCCCCACGGGGCGCGTTGAGCATAGACCCTTAAGGGGGAAGTGTCAGTGATCACGTGACTCCTCCCTGATTAGCTGACTGCTCGAGATTGCTGAGAGCTCAAATTTTGTGGCAGGCTCAGTACTTTTTGGACCTTGAAGTGCACATTTCGTAGCAGGTGCAGTGCTTTTGTGGGCCTTGGAGTGCCCATTCCGTGGCAGGCACAGTACTTTGTGGACCTCAAAGTGCAGATTTCGTGGTAGGTGCAGTACCTTGTGGAAATTGAAGTGCAAGCTTCTGAGCACGAGCACGCATCCAGCAGCAGCAGCAGCAGCAAACCAGCAGAGCAGCAGCAGCTAAGCAAAAAGGCAGCACCGGCACCAACAGCAGCAACAGCGGCGGCGGCAGCGGTAGCAGCAGTGGCTGCAGCACAGCAAAGCAGTAACAGCAGCAACAGCGGCAGCAGCGGAAGCTGCAGGTGCAGGTTGGAAGCAGCAAGCCAGCAAGGCCAAAGCAAAAGGAAGACGGTGGAGAAGCACCAGCAGCAATAGCAGAATGTGGCGACCGAATCATTCGAGGTTCCAACAAAGGCGTCTACATCCTAGGACTCAGGGGGCAGCCCCCAACGGTGCGACCTAGGGTTAGAATAGCGTGTCATAGGGTTGAAATAGTATGTTTGTGGGTTGGAAAAAAAGGTTCAAGGGTGAAAAAAGTTTCCAGGGTGAAATATAATGCTTCCAGGGTGAAAAAGAGGTTTGAATTGAATATAAGGACCATGGGTTGATTTAGTAGGGGTTACATTTTTTCTCCGAGGGTGGAAAAAAAAGGTTGGGGTTGAAAAAATATGTTGGAGGGTTGGATATCCAGCCCCCGCTTAAAGCTGGGGTCAGAATATGTGTTTTTCCGGCGGAGAGGAGTCTTAGGTCTCAAAGGATCCCTGGCCCGGGGTCGTCCAGTACGCATCCTGGACTCGTCCCCAAATGCCAAGCATGGATCCCTACCCCTTTTTGGGATCCCACTGTTTTGGCTCTCCTGTTCGCAAGAAATGTGCAATTGGCTATACATTTGGCCGCTCAGGTCATTCTTCCTTGAGGATTTGGTGTCCTATAGAGTTCCTGGCAGAACTGGATCACCCAAGGTCTTTCTTCAGCCACACCAAACACGTCAAAGCCTTCCATCTCCCCTTCCCAACCCCCAAACGAATCACCGCAGAACACGAGCCGCCTGTTTGCGGGCCCCCCGCCTCGCGGATGGCGACGATGAGGTCTTTGAAGTCTGCAAACTTGGCCCTCAGCATGTGCCGGCACGGGCAACACCCGCGGTCAGGTCAACGTGGTCTCAAGTCGGCACGCTGCTGTGTATCTCATGCATTATAAAAGATGTATCTTGGAAAGCTCGATCCAGGACAGTCAGTCCTGAAAGCCAGAAAGCCCTAGAAACGTTGCAGGCCAGGACCTTCCCAGTGAACCCCCGATGTTAATCACATGGAGGGGTCACACATCCCCATTCTTTAGTGATTTCCTGGGGAATGATGAATGTCAGCTCCCTAGAAAATGAGGAACACAGCTTCATGAACCTGGATCAGCATAATCTAGTGAATCACTAGGAAATGAACCTAAATTTTGATCACACCTCTCGGACCTGTGATCGGCACGTCTTCTTTTTTGAACCTGCGTTCGGCATTTTCTAGTGAATGCCCTGGTGCCTTGACGTGTGATCGTCATTCTTTAGCGGATCCTGCTTTGACCCTGCTTTCTAGTGGTGCTTGCTTTGTTTTGGGCTGAGGATGATCAGGATGGGCAGTGAATGGCAGTGACATATACTGTATCATGCCAGACGGCCCATGGAAATCGTGCCATAGTGGTGCCATGATTTCACTAAAGCTGTTTGTCAGATGACAATCAGACCTGAGCCTGGGCTTGTATATCTTCGCTCTTCATACACTGTAAAGACGTAGAACCCATCATCTTCTTCAAACACTGCCATACCCTACCATTCCATTTTGGGCACTCTGGCCATAAATGGAAAGGTAGGGTATCCAGCCAGAACAATTCACTAGAAAATGATGGATTCTAGGTCTTTAGGGTGTGTTCCTCATTTTCTTGTGGCTTTGGTGTTTCAACCAGCACCTGGTACACCCAAATCCTCAAACACTGCCATTCCCTATCATTCCATTTTGGGCACTCTGGCCAGAAATGGAAAGGTCGGGCATCCAGCTAGAACAATTCACTAGAAAATGATGGGTTCTAGGTCTTTAGGGTGTGTTCGCCATTATCTAGGACCAATTCACTAGAAAATGATGGGTTTCACGTCTTTGGGGTGTGTTTCCAATTTCTAGTGGCTTGGGTGTCTCGACCAGCACCTGGTACACCCAAATCCTCAAACACTGCCATACCCTACCATTCCATTTTTCACTCTGGCCAGAAATGGGAAGGTAAGGTATCCAGCCAGAACAATTCACTAGATAATGATGGGTTCTAGGTCTTTAGTCCCTCATTTTCTAGTGGCTTTGGTGTCTGGACCAGCACTGCCATTCCCTACCATTCTATTTCTGGTCCTACCAGTCCATTTCTGCACTCTGGTCAGAAATTGAAAGGTAGGGGATCCAGCCAGGCCAACTCACTAGAAAATGATGTGTTCTAGGTCTTTAAGGTGTGTTCCTCATTTTCTAGTGGCTTTGGTGTCTGGACCAGCACCTGATACGAATTGGTCTGGCTGGATACCCTTTCCATTTCTGGCCAGAGTGCCAAAAAGGGAATGGTAGGGTATGGCCGTGTCTGCGGATTTTGGGTGTACCAGGTGCTGGTCGAGACACCAAAAGCCACTAGAAAATTGGAAACACACCCTAAAGACGTCAAACCCATCATTGTCTAGTGAATTGGTCTGGCTGGATACCCTACCTTTCCATTTCTGGCCAGAGTGCCAAAAAGGGAATGGTAGGGTATGAGGATACTAGAAAATGAAGAACGCACCTTAAAGACCTAGAACCCTTCATTTTCTAGTGAATTGTTCTGGCTGGATACTCTACCTTTCCATTTCTGGCCAGAGTGTGAAAAATGGAATGGTAGGGTATGGCAGTGTTTGAGGATTTGAGTGGAAACACACCCTAAAGACGTCAAACCCATCATTTTCTAGTGAATTGGTCTGGCTGGATACCCTACCTTTCCATAGGGTGTCAAAAATGGAATGGTAGATAATGGCGAACACACCCTAAAGACCTAGAACCCATCATTTTCTAGTGAATTGTTCTAGCTGGATACTCTACCTTCCCATTCCTGGCCTGAGTGCCAAAAATGGAATAGTAGGGTATGGCAGTGTTTGAGGATTTGGGTGTACCAGGTGCTGGTCGAGACACCAAAGCCACAAGAAAATGGGGAACGCACCCTAAAGACGTGGAACCCATCATTTTCTAGTGAAGTGGTCTGGCTGGATACCCTACCTTTCCATTTCTGGCCAGGGTGCCAAAAATGGAATGGTAGCGCCAGAAATGGAATGGTAGGGTATGGCCCTCGGTATGGCAGTGTTTGAGGATTTGGGTGTAGTGGGAGACGCTGGGGGACATCCAACAACACACACTGAGATTGACACAACAAAGTTCTTTAGCCAGTTCCTTGCAGAAGTTGCCGCAATCCTGAAGAGGATGAACAGGCAAGGAGCAATGCGAGGGCAGGAAGCTGAGGAGAGGAAGAAGAGGAGCGTTGCACGTTGGAATTTATATTGTTTTTTGGGTTATGTTTCTCTTAAACTCTTGCTTGAATCATCATGATTCATCATGTTTGCTAGAAAATGAGGCACCCCCACTAGAAAATGAGGATCACGGTGGGATCAAGAAAACAAGGTGATATCTAGAAAATGACCCTGCCAGCATGCCTATGAGACCTGTGATCCTCAATTTCTAGTGACCTACAGGTCACTAGAAAATGAGGCTCCTGACCCCTTCTCGATGAGTTTACCTTTTTGAGACTAAAGAATGGCCGTTTTCTATGTACGTTACGCACCCCATTGTCTAGTCCGAATATCATGGGGGATCCCAGTGACCTCTTCAGGATTGGTAAGTGACCTTTTCAAGGCCTAAGTGACCCCATTCTGGGATCTCAAAAGGTCACTGGGAAGGTCCTGGGGGATGATTCTGATGAATCCACTCTTGTCCAAGTTATCACACGAGTGGACTTCCATAGGGCAACGAGGTTCATGCATGTCCTTTGTTTCCAAGTGGTCCCAATCATCGAAATAATAAACAAGTCCAGCTGTCAGTTCTTCGTTCTTGAATGTTTATCATGGTCCGTTGAGAGCGTATAGGTCGTTGACGTGGTTGGTCCCTTTCTCCCTTTCCAAGTCTGCTGCTTTCCGCTCGAAGTCCACAAGCCCTCCACAAGTTGAAAGTCTATGAAAGTCTTATCCCTTACAAACTCTTGATGCCCATACCAATTTCATCCAACTTCACAATCCCTAGAGCGGGGTTTTCCCACATATAGTGCCCCTTTTCAAAAAAATAAAGAACACCTCGCTGCTGGCACCACCCACGTCATATCCCCCGGGCGGCTACGCCCCCGGTCCTCCGCCCCGCACGCCCCGCAGTGCCGCCCTCCTCCGGGCGTCCGCCGGGCTCCCGTGCTCCGGCCGCACGAAGCCGCAGACGATCAAGCGGAGCTCGCAGTCGTAGAAGTCCTCCGCCTTGGTTGGGGGTCTGCTCTGCTAGACCGAAGGCGGCCGGGAGTGGGCGGTGGGAGGGCGGGGAAGCGGGGGGAGCGGGAGTGGGCGGGCTCGGGCAGGGGGGGAAAGGTGGTTGGTTTGGGGCGTGAAGAGGTGCTCCATTCGATGATAGAGGGGTGCTCTATTATATGCCGACATGGACCCCCTTTTCAACCACCTCCGTATGCAAATAGGATCGAAGATGGCGGAGCGTCGGCACCACCGAAGCAAAGGAATTTCCAGGGCACCTCGGTCACCGAATCATCTAATCAGACCTTTTCTTGAGTCTTGGGTGCAGTGGGTTCAATCACCCCAAGTAAAGGTTGAATGAAAAGAAAGATCATATGGCGGTGGGTCCTGGCAACCCGTGCGGCACGACCTACCTACCTGGTGGACTTGACTATAGTTGCTTCGCGGGAATCGTTCGCTACATGTTGGACCTATCAGGCTTGAACGACCCATCACCAATGGATCTGAAAGCCCCGGGGCCCCTCGGATCTCCCACGTAATCGTGGAGGATCCACGGCTCGATGGTCTTGGCCTATCGAGACCGGAGACCGGACGAGCGAAGAGAGTCCCGGAGTGGAGGATGGAGACAGGAACTAGAGCAACTGAGGTCAAGATGTTTGACATTAAAAAACACCATCACAGAACAACACTTGAAGAAGTAACGCAACCAACATCGACGCACCAGCAAAACAGGAGCGACCAAACCGAGTAACGGACTTACCTCTCAGAGCGACCACAAGCGGTGGATTCTTCGTGCGAAGCCGGTCACGTCGCAAGCTCCGTTCACCCTATTTGGACCAATCCACATGGACTCGCTTTTAAAGATTCCAGAATTGAAGATCGACTCCCATAGACAAGCCTCAGAAATGTAGTCAATCCGGACACGGTGCTTCTTGGGATGTACAGTGCATCAATGAAAATAGTTTAAGCATCACTTCGATCGGTCTATCCCGTTCTCCGCTGTATGGACAGTAGTGATGCTTGGTGGTGAGGTCTTTCTTACTTCTAACACTATAGAGAGAGAGAGAGTCAAAAGCATTTAAGACTAAGTGCAGGATTGACGCGGATTGACAAACATACCTGAGCCCATGCCCAAATACATGACATATTCTGTAGAACAAAACAACATGTGTTCCCTGGATGTTGAAAAACAACGTTCGAAGACACGCATTTCCGCATTCGGAGGAATGCCAGAAACCATTCTGACCATTTCCGACGAGAGACCAAAACAACCAGTGAGACCTCTGGCGCAAACTGATAGCATGCCATAGCCAAATGGATGGTACTCAGCTCAAACATCATGGATGGTACTGGCTCCCCCTTGCGGACATGGAGCCCCCAAACCTCTTCAGTCCAAACCTTCGATCAATCTCAATCAATCTCCCGCGTTGTGCATCACTTGGTTGTTCGATCAAAACGAGTCCGGAGAACATCACCGTGGAGACGTCAAAACCGAGGAAATCCCAGAATAAACAAGTCCGGAGGTGAACCTACCATGGGCTCCAAGTTTTGACTCCCGGCAGGGCAGCAGTCGGCCGAAATTCCCCGAACCTACACTTGATTCGATTTCACCACGAGGTGCTACTGAACATTACGTGTTTCTGATTCAAACTACACGCCCACACACTAACATGGAACCTGAGAGTTTTGGGGGGTGCATTCTATATCCAGATGCACTTACATGGAAGTGGCAACCCCCCCTGATTGGTATTCCGAAAATGGCCTTCCTTACAGGGCCATGCCATCCACTTCCATGCTATCCATTCCAGAACACACTCAATGTGCAGAGGTTAACCGAAGGGATATATCCTATATAGGATATATCGAACCAGGTATAACCTTCAACCTCTATTGGTCTATTTCCATGCTACACCTTCCTTTCGGAACCCCCGAAACCGAAACCAAAAGCAAGCGGATGCGGCGGATATCGCCTTGACGTCGGGGAAGGTCGGATTCCACCCCACGCTCATGGCGGTCTGGGCCGGACGCGAGCTCGTGCCGGTCTGGAAGCGCGCAAAGCTTTCACTGGGCCGTAGCTCGTGCCGAGCTAGTGGAGCGAGAAGTTGGAGCCTACTGGTGGAGCTGCAAATAGAAAGGTCTGTTGGCAGGACTAGTTCAGTTTAGAGTGTTTTATCTTTCTTATGAGTTTCAACAGGAGAAGGACACCACCCTCTTCAAGTCTTTCACGGCCTGGCTGGATGCACAATCATCCCCTCAAACGCTCTTACCACCCATGGTCTCCCAAATGGATAAACTCTCACAGTCTCCGACACCTAAACCAAACTTTCTGAATCAAAGATTGTTTTTAAGGTGGTCCTCAACCCAAGCTTATACTATATATTTTGGACCTTTCTGGTGGATTTTGGAGAGAAGGATATGAAATATTATCAACTTGCTGGTTTGGTTTGGTTGTTTCAAAGCCTCTGCATTCATAACATTTGGTTGTGTGGTGTCTGGTCTCCCCTCCCATCCCAACCCAAGCTGCTCTGCGCTCACTCTTTATGTCTCCTATGGATTTTCCTGTGCTCCCTGAGGCTCTTCCCACCGACTGAGTCCTTTGTAGAGCCCAGCTCTACCAATCTTTGGTGGCCTTGATTTCACCGTCCTCATGTACTGGCATTGAGTGACAAAAACAAGGGCCTGGGGAGCCCAGGCCCAAGCAGCCCCCCACCAACTTCCGTCCTCATCAAGATCTCCTCCGTCTTGAACCAACGCCAAGTGAAACTGGAACCATGCCCAAGCAACCCTATCAGAAGAACACTGTAGGCCCAAAAGGGAACTCGTTGAGCACTGGCGGTGCCATGTTCCGCCCATCCCCCGTGGCTTTTGGCCAAGTCCCTTGCCAAAGGGCTTTAGATGAAAAGGTTTCTGGGCAAGAGGCTTTAGATGAGAAGGTTTCTTGGCAAGAGGCTTTAGATGAACAGGTTGCTTGGCACGAGGCTTTAGATGGAAAGGCTTTTTGGCGTCCTTCAGCTCATACGGATTTCTGTCCGACGAACCCTGCTGAACCAAGTTGCTGCGGAAACGATGTAAAAGGGCTGCTGAAATGAAAAACTGTTAGCTGTGAGCCACAGGCTTCAAAGAGCAACGCTCAGCAGATTTGTCTGTTTTCTCTCTTCTTGACTCGCCCGTCTTGCGCCTACTGTATTTTCTTCACCTCCTACTTCTTGGCATTTCGTTCTTTGTACTTTAGAATGCACATTCTTCAATGACAAGCTCCATTTGGGAATGCGTGATGGAAGGCCGCTCTTCTTGAAATGTAGTGGTCTGATGAGTTATACGCAGCGCATGCCAAAGCTGTTTACAGAGCAGTCGGAAGCTTTTTATGCGCGGGGCTTCTCGGGTTTTTTAAAAACCATTTGCGCTAGGAGCCTTTCACTTCACGAAAAAATCCATGGCGGTGGCCACGACGTTGAGGGGCACCTGCTCGCTGGGTCTTGCGCGCAATTCCGCAAGTACCGCTACACTGTCAAGGCTAAAGCGCTATTTCTCGTCTTCTCTGCAAGCGCCCACTCGACAAAGCGGAGGTGGCGACCTCAACTTGAAGCTTGAAGCACGCACGCCACACCTCAACATTTCGCCGGAACCATTTTCAAGCAGAGCAAGTGGAAATCTGCCCCGCGCCTTTTTCTTCCCACTCTGCAAGAGTAGGGGGTTGAGGGCCGTCCCAGGCTCTGGTAAGGTCCCAGTGCCCCCACTCGTCGAATTGGTACCACGCAGCTCCCAAGTCCCGCCTCAATTGTAGTTCACACTCAACCATCTTCTTTCTTTTCATCTTCTTTCTGACCTTCTACCTCCTTCTCCTGTGGAGTAGGGGTAATCTCTTCTAGCGCCTGTTGCACGTCTTTCTTTCTTTGCTCTCTGTTCTCAAGCTTCTTGTATCCTGCCGCAAACAACCACATATCCTCTGGCGGTGCTGGCTCATAGCTGAAGATTGTGATTGAAGGAGTGACTGCATCATCATCATCAAAGAATTGCTCGGCCCTGGCAACTCTGGCCGGGCTCTCACACACTGGGTTCTTGGCGACCCGATCGCCGCTGTCCCGGCCTCCTCTGGCGCCGGTGGGGGGACCACCGGTGGTGCGACGCCAGGCGGGTCCCACCTGGTCGCGGTCGACGCTTCTGCGCGGCGGGTTCGCGGCGTCTCTGCGACCCGGCGTTCGTGCCCTCAAAAGTTTTTATCGTATGTTCCAAATTTTTTCTATATTTAACTCGTTGGTGTTGTTAATATAAAGAGGTCTACCCCTATTTGAAGGCAAAAGGCCAAAGAGCTGGATGGTACCTACAAACCCCTCATGCCTTTGGAGGAGCCTTGCTATTTCGGACCTAAATTAGTGAGCAGGTGCCAGTATAGTTCACCCCTTTACCGTGACTCTAGCGTGACTCTAGTGTGACTCCCCCTTGCTCGAAGTCTTGTTCAACAAAAACTTTAAAGAATCAGAAACAAGTGTTGTATATTAATTAATGTATATTATATATATACACACAACACTGTGACTCTACCGTGACTCTAGCGTGACTGTAGCGTGACTCTACCGTGAGTCTAGGGTGACTCCCCCCCTTGCTCGAAGTTTTGTTGAACAAAAACTTTAAAGAAACAAATTTTGTAAAAAACAACTGTGACTCTACCGTGACTCTAGCGTGACTCCCCCCTTGCTCGAAGTTTTGTTTAACAACAACTTTAAAGAAACAAGTTTTGTATATATATAAAATTGTGACTCTAGCCCCTGCAATGCAGCTGTGTGTTTCCAGGGATCGTCAACTCTGGAGGGCAGCATGCTGAGCGATATGTGGTTAAAATTGCACGCGTGAAGCTTGCGATTGCCAAGAAGAGAATGGCACGTGTGGATGTTTACAACGCATGGTGCAGGTAAAAAGGCGCTATTGAACTTGTTTTCTGTTGAAAAAGTGCTGCCAGGACTTAATTAAGAAATATATCTATAAAATTAAAAAATAAGTTTTAACGAAACTGTCTTAACGAAGTTTTTGAGCGACGAATAAAATATGATGCCGTTAAACTGCGTCGCATTTCGTACATCCGAGGAAAACTGCGTCGTTAGATGTGTAGGGAAAGCATTTGCATTTACTCTACTTTTCATCCATCGACGAGGACCTCTCTAAATCGAGATTTGTTCCTCTTTTTTTGTTGCAATGTTGCGCACGTGGCCGCACGCTGCGTCGTTGGCAGTCCTGCCCCCCCCCACCAGCACGGCCGCGGCCAAGGCCACCAGAACCAGGAGCCAGAGCCCTGGCTGATGTCATTTCCACGGCCCGAGCAGGAGCGGGGCCACTTGCGTCATGCAGGCGGTTCCGGCGGGTCGCTTTTCTTTTTCGCTTGGCGGTCGCAGCTTCGGAGGAAGCTCTGACGTGAAGTTTTTTCTCGCACATATGTCTTTTGTCTGTTTCACTCCTTTCACCTCTTTGTCTACTTCTCAAAGCCTCTTTTTTTTACCTGCACATTTTCCGTTCGTGTGTGTCGGTTCTGCACTCAGGCTCCAGAGCCTGCAAAAAGAAACCACATCCATTCTCGAGCCCTTTGTCGGGGGCTTTCCCCCTCCGCCTGGGCGTTTCCGTGGATCCTCGCCCCCCAGGTTTATTGGTAACCCAGGCAGGGGCACTTCCCGGGGACTCACCATCGGAAATCCTCGAGTTTCGCCTTTCCCCTCCCAGTGCACCGCCGAGCGCCCGCACGCTCCTGCGGCTTTGTGCCTATATACTTTGTGGACCTTGAAGTGCAGATTTCGTTGCAGTACTTTGTGGACCTTGAAGTGCAAATTTCATGGCAGGTGCAGTACCGACTTTAGACTTTAGACAAAACATGAGGTTTCCCTTGCGCAGAGAAATTGCATCTGGAACTCTCAGAACAGAACTTTTCTGCGAGCCAAACGTGCGAGCCCAGAGAGCGTACCCTGATGGAACCCAGGCTTTTACACTTACGGTAAGAACCCCGCAAGAACCCTCAGTGTGGACACACTGTTTGGGGAAAAAACTGTAGACATGAAAGACTCCAGATAACATAAGAAACAAACAAAACGCGTTGCAAAACGAGATTAATCTCCCGAGTTCCAAAACGAGGTCCTTCCCCGTGAGAATCAACTGGACACTGATGGTCTTTTTCACCTCACCTTTGTCAAAGATCCCCCGCCGGCAGTCGACGTCTGCGAGACTTCTCCCGTCCAGGCCTTGTAGACACCACTGTCTGCGCCTTGGAGGGACATCTTCCGGTGAAATCCTCACTGTCTGGTGCAAAGAAAGGGTACACTATGAGAGGTACGCCGAGCACTTCACGAAGATATATAGATGAGTCAAAGGCCTGGAAGAGTAACATGGAAACTGAAAACAACTGGTTCGTAGATGTTGTAGAGGAAACTGTCTTTCAGGATGCCATTCTTAGGGTCCATGTTACTTTTCGGGGGTGTACCTGTCACTACCTTGCAGGTTTTGTGGGTTGGAGCCAGAACAAACTGGGCAAAGAGGTGCTTTGATGGCTTTTGTATTGACCAGCTTGGTGGGAGGCAAGGTAGGAATTTCAAGCCAATGTGTAAATTGATGCATATTGGATCATATTGGCAATCCTTCCGAGTGAGTGAAACTCAGAGTTCACCTCCATGAAACAACACATAGAAGCGGACAACGTGGTCTGGCCCCTGCACTCCCTGAAATAGTCATGGAAGTAGAAAGCCACCTGTTTGGTATTCGGACCATGGTCATCCAACGGGTCGCGACATCCACTTCCAGGTGTACTTTGAGCATGGGAGGTAACACACACCAGGCCACCACACACCACCAGGCCAGAAGCAACTGGGCCCCACCACAGAACTGCTGAACTGCACATTATGACCCCAAAATCTGTTCTGCTTCTGCAACTGGCCGGATCTCTGATGGCGAACTCGTCCCGTTGTCCATTTCAGGCTTTCTGGGAAGAGCCATCTCGGTGCAGTTTGTCGAGCAGTGAAGGAAGCAATACTCGAACACAGTGCTGTTGGGTACTATCCCACCAAATTAAAAAAGAGAAATGGTTTTGCATGTGACAGGTAATCATGGATGTCTCCCAGCTGCGAAGCCTTCGAAGTCTCTGCTGGGTTCACCCCACCGTTGCTCCCCTGCGCCCAGCCATAGTAGATGCCTTGAGACTGCGTGAAGGAAAGGGATGCATCCAATCTCTTCAACCTCAACTTCTGGACTCCACTCACCTACTGTAAGGACCCATGCTTGTCAATAGATTCACCAAGGTCACCTTTGCAAGGGGGTAGCCTATTGAATTGTATGCCTCTCAAAAGCTACAATCACCAGCCTTGGTAGATAGCATCATTCCAAGCATGACATCCTGACTTGGCTCAAAACTGAACACCCAATGGGCTATGGTAGGTTGACAACCCCGGCAGGTCCATTTAGGTCCAATTTAAAAATTGATCAGAACAAATCTGCTGACTCCACCACAACTCCACTGGCAGCATAAATGTGAAACGACCCTTTCAATTGCGTGATTCACCTTGAATGATCCCTATTTGGTCTACCATTGTCCATCATTTCAGCTTTAGGCTTTTGGAGTGGAAATTTAATTTTACGTACCAGCACACCCTACCTGCTCATTGTGACAGGACGTGTCACGTGGATCTAGCCGTTTGAAATGAATTTGACCTGGTCTAGTTGACCTCAAAGCGGGCCTGGCTCACAGCTACGGGCAAAATCCAGCACATCTCGCTCCTGGAGTTTGGCATTCATTCGGCCAAGGCGTGCGCTCTCAAATACTTCCAAAAAGGAACGCAATTGCAGAGCTTCGGACCCAATCTTAAGATCCTGAATATTTGCAGAACTGAGGATTGACATCCCAATGTTCAAACAAATCCTGGAGATTCACATCCGGGTGTTATGGCTGACTCCCAAGCCAGCTGACACTGGAAAGCTAAAAATGATCGCGTCATGGTCCACGGTGAGAAAGGTGAAAGCCAATCAAACAACGCTAAAGGGATCTAACCCTAGGCCTCTAAGTACCTTCTGAGAAGGTGGGACTGGGGTGGGTGCCAGGAGGGTCCAAATACCTTCTGAGGAGGTAAGACTGGACATGTAGGGTAAAGAGTTGCTTCACGGTGATCTCTGGGAATCCACTGACTGGGTCTGATGGACATCAAGAGGATCACAAACGACGGTCTGACCTTCTGCACCACGCAGGACATCGATGCATTGTCCTCCTTCGCGGCATCCCTTCGCAATGAACACACTCTCCGCATCCCACGCAAAAATGCTCCACCGGCCAAACTGCTCACTACCCCGGCTCCCCTCCCAGCTTTCTCACACCAATTGGGACGGGTCCACGATGGTACAGGGGGTAGGTGGCCAGTAGGTGGCCACCGGGGTCGACTCTATCGACTTGCGCTCCTCAGGCGTCAACTTCTCCGGAGTCTCCATGAAATCCCATCCTCCGATCGCCGTGTGTCCCGGTCGGCACCGGTGGGTCGTCGCGACGCGACGCGACGGGGCGATCCATGCGATGCGGCCGGTCGCGCGTCGTGCCGCGGGGCACATACCCAGACACGACTAATGGGACTGGCATATATACCAATCAGGCCAGGGGTGGTGCCAGGGGTGTCAATGGGGCGGCATATATGGCAGTCCCATGGAGTGTCTGGGATATACTGCTTGGGGATCGGTTGTCACTTGCCATTCTTACCTTTGAAGGTGGAAGAGATCGAACTACCATGCCACCGCGGAGCAAAAGGATGCAAAAGGCATGGATTCCAGGTGAACGTTGGAACAAAAGGACCTCTACGCCGAGCATCGCCGTCGACACCTCGAACGTCTTGGACATCCCGGCTACAGTCGATGCGCTCGATGATGGTTCCTCCCAGAAAGGTCGAAAGAAGATGAAACAAGCCCTTAGGGCCCATCTTCCCAGCGGGTCGCTCATCAAGTGCCTGCAACAAATCTTCCACCAGATCTCTCCACCGTCCCCGCTTCGTCCAAATGGGCTCTCCGAACTCACGTTCATGTTGGCCGTGGGGAAGCCCAACAACTTACTTCCACGGCCTCAAGCTGGGGCCAAAGGCGAGCGACCCGAAAAAATCCTTCTTGCGGGCGGATCCGGCTCAGAAGGTGCCCCCAGTTGCGGGTCTTGGATGCAATTGGTCTTCCCAAAGCCAGGTCTTGGTTTGGCTCGGGTATTTTGTGCCTTTGTTTGAGGGAACTGCATATGCACGGTTCAACTGACGAAGCACACACTTCATGGATTCAAATCATCTTGGAACCGCTTTGATCATGGGATTCGTGAAGGGGCTTTGTTTCACCTGGCAGGGAAATCATGTTGTTTGTACATTGAACGCTTTGGAGAATATAGTCACAGGAAAAATTGAATAGTGCCTGTGCTTCGGATTTTTGTGTTCGTTTTAGATGTTCGGATGTGTCTGCTGGTTCTTGGCATCAAGGGAATTCTAGATCTCATTTCGGATAACAGAAGAAAACGGCAGCGGATTCGACAGACTCTCCCTCAATTGTAGCTCTCAAGCAGGAAGAAGGCTGCTTTGGACTACTCCAAAGCAAAGACAACTGTGAATCCTCATGGGTCACTGTAGAATTTCAGGATTTACCTTTCTTCCGACGAGTGCTTGTCGGGATCGGGCATTATCCAATATACCTTCTAAGGTCGTTGGACACTCCAAACCCATCCTGGTCCCTGGCTCAGCTCAGAGCTAGCTTTGCGGCATCCCATCGTCGAAGTCACCAACTAAACCAAAGGCGCAAGCGAAATCACCGGGCACTTCCTAAACAAAATCACCCTTCGAAAACGGCCCACCGGCCCTCTCCGCAAGCGCGCGTCCTCCTTCGACCAGTCCCAGGCGCCAAAGCCACGGACCACTTGGGCCCGCAAGTGCGGCATGGGCTCCAAGGCCTCAGATGAGCACTTCGTGTGCCGCAGCACTTCGGTGCCCAAGAAGGGGGCGGAGTGACGTGAGCGAGGTGAACCAGATAGCCGCCTGTAGCGAATTACAACGAGCAATTGGAACATATTGGAACCAAGAGACTCTTGGTTCCCCAGGGTCAGGAAACAGGTCTCAGGATTCATTCGTTTGGGTCAATAGAAAAGACCAAGCGCAGTCTGTTCATCGTAGGTTAATGTACATCTCTGGTCGTCCATTCTGTTCATTTGCTTACCGGTCCGCCCTAAAATGCCATGATCAAAACCAATCCCAAGGATCCGCCAATCCTTCATGAGGAGATAGTTGGATCCATGTGTGCGTGTTATATATATATACTGTATACTGATATAATATTGTGTTGGAGCCCTAGAGATCCAGCTGCTCAGGTGTTGGAGCTTCAGCATGAATCACCTAGTCTCCAACAAAACCATACAGCAGATTGCCAGACACTCCAGCAGTGCAAAGCAGCGCCATGCAAAGTGCATCAAATTTGCCACAGAACTCTCCAGAAAAATCCAATGGCACCTTAGCAAGTTGTCAGTGTTCAACTTTCAACCTACACTACATGATGCAGATTGATGCTTGATGCTGGATCACGTCTGAAAGTTTGAGTTCAGAAAGAGTAGCATGCCACAGCTTTGCAACGACTCCCCACAGCTTTGCATCACATCTTCTCACCTGGTCGCTTCATTTCGGCTCACCTGGTTGCGACCCGACCCGGTCGCGGTGAGCGTCCCGACCCGACGGCTGCGCTCGACCTTGGAGTCCTGGAGCGCCACCTGTTTGGATAGATTTGGCTTGACCAAATGGCTAGTGCTTCACAAAGAAGAAAGGGTGGCTGGATCCCAAGGCATTTGTATACGTTGAATAAACCATATAATGTGTATGATACTATATTATACTATATATTATATCATGAATACTATATATATTACACATATGTAATTCATGATCATATATTATCCGCACTATACTGTATCATATGTAAGACTATGTAGTATTATATAGAACATATAACATATATAGAGGGGGGTCAGCCACCTCACTCCCTGCGAAGCACCAGTCGACTTGCTTTTCCGGCCTTCTCTTCTGCCTTTTCCTCTGCCATGGCGTGCAGAAACCGCGCGCTTGTTCAAGGGGATGGGCGCGCTCTCCTCACTTGCAGGTGAACCAGGCCACTTATTAACTAGACTTGGCTAGACTTGAACGTCCAAGTGCATCTTGTGACATACCTTGTTCAATGCCCACTGAGTCTCCAGACTCTAGCCGATAGAAGCCCTGCAATGCAACTGGCTCACATGTTGCATGAAGAATTTGCTGAAGAGCTGCGATGAAAAAGTACTTTGTGTGATGTATGTTCACCAAACTCCATGACCCTCTTTACCCGAGTAATCACCCAAACTCGGTCGCTTCGATCTCTGGTTGGAACAGAGACCTGAGAAGTTGGAACGACCCTTGACCTGCCAAGTTGAGATCCCAACTTGGCAGGTCTGTAGAACGACGCCCCCCCAAAAAAGGCCTCTTCTTCCGAAGAGGACCAGCTACCCCGAGATCGATGCATCCCTGATCATCCCTGGGATCTCCAAACCTTCTGGGGCGGAGAAACCAGTGGATTTGCCCGGTCGCGACCGCAACTCCTCGGTTTCAACGGGCGCGCGCGTCGCGACCTGCTTTGGAGGTTCCCCGCTTTGGGACCGGTCCTTGGGGACGTCCAATTGAACAGCTCCTAAAGCATTGGCCGAAGTCCTTTGCCGAGCCTTGATTTGGATCAACTGATCGAGCCGGCATCAAGCCGGCGAGGGAGTTCCAACAGTTGAACCCCATAGCCCAGGTGTACCACCCTTTCTTTGGTGTCCATGGAAGACTTGACCCCTCTACAGTAGAAGTGGATGATTGCGCATGACCTCCTGGCCAAGCGCCCCAAAGCTCGGTTTCAACATGAGGATTGCTAAAGAAAACAAACAAAATCGGCCCGTGAAGACATCTACCGGGATCATCCAATGGGTGTCGGACTACCGGCGCACTTCTTGCGATGTCTCTCTTCCTTTTTTCACGTCCCGCATGGTCCGGATGGTGCGATCTCGGTCATGGCGCGGCCGGTGTCAAAATTGATCCAACTCGGCAAGACGGAATGCGGTTTGACCATCCAGGCCGGCCAGACATGATTCCAAAATAATTGTAGGTCTTTGGAGAGATCCCCAAAAACCTGGCACTCCAAAGCCGTGCACCAGCTTCATCTCCCGCAATGCGCAGAGGAAAGCCACCCAAATGGCATCAAGCCGCGCTGGTGCTGTCTGGGCGTTCCCCTCGCTTCTGTCGCGTTTTCCCTCCTCCTGGATCATTCCAGACAAAGAGTTCATGGTGCACGCTGCCGCCTTCGCTGCCTTTCGTACAAGTCGCGTGGCAGAGTCCTTTAGTTCGCCAAGCCCCCGTAAAGTTCGTGCCACGCTGAGGCCACCAGGTGAATAGTTCGTCCCGGAAGCGGGTTGGCCGTCCGCATCCACTCGAAATCTCGTCATTCTCGTCATTGACCGGCCTGTTCAGAACGTTCAGCGGCGCTTGTCAGAGCTGCTTGCAGCATTCCTGCAAAAAAGCACTTGGATTCATCCCCTTCGGCACCACCTCTTTGGCATCCACAGCACCCCAAGGCATCAAGACATCCCTCGCAGCCCGAAGACATCCACCGCACCCTCTGGCCGCACTGAGTCTTCGGCGGCCCCGAGGTCTTGCGCCAGTGTGGCCAAGCCAGAGAGGTGAGTCATCTCGTGGTCCGTCAAAACGAAGTCCAAATCACCTGGAAGGCGCTGCAGTACGGATTTCGACGGATGAAATCCTCTGGTCGTCCACTCACCTGGCGCTAGCTCACTTGGATTTTGGAAACTCACTCAAGACCACAGTCGTCCACTCAATAACCTGGATTTGGGACGGAGCGTTTGGTGGGGACGACTGCTGGACGACTGGGTCGGATCTGGGTCGAGGTGGGGTCGACGAAGATGTGGGACGACACTGATATGATATGCTTTAATGTGCTGGAGCCAGCCATGCCTTCCATGTACCTCAAAGCTTTAAAGCAAAAACGGCCGTCAGGTCGACCCTTCCAATGCCGAGGCGCAATTCTCCTGAATGTGCTGCTTTTGGCGACTGCGTGGTAGGACCGCCACCTTCTGCTGCACCAGCCAGCGCAGCAGAACCTGCCGAGGCCCAGGTTCTGACGGGAAGTAGATTCCTGTAATCCAGTATCATCTAAATTCGGGATACCCGTGGTGTAGGACTGGTAGGGATGCAAATTTTAGATATATGCGATTAGCTCATTGCTACCGATCTATCTTACTTAAGAGACTCGACCTCGGCTTTTACAGGGTGATCCAAGTCTTGCCACTGGGGGACCGACCGGTTGACCACAGAAAATTAACAGAATAGACTAAAGTCAACCTACCGGGGTTTGGGGCTCCAGGTTTTGACCCACAGCCAGGCTGCAAACTTCTGGACATTGTTGGTTCAAGCTTTAAATCTCAAGTAAAAAGCTGAACCATGGGATGGCCTTGAAGACATCTTTCCCTTGTGTCATGCTTAAAGCGCCCACAAGGTGTCTCATGATTCTCATGAAAATTCTGCTAGGGTTGTAAAAATCACCTGTTCTGGTAGTTTCGCTTCCGTGTTCTTGCAGGTCAGAAAAATCACAAAGAAAACTGCAACAAATGTCGCTCCATCCAGTAACACTGGAAAGTGAAAATAACTATACTATACACAGGACACAACATAGGTCATATATAGCATGTTTCAGCATATGGTTATATTATATTTGGGACTCCGGGACGCTCCTCCTGTCACCACCCGAGTTGGCCAGCAATGGTTCCGTTACTAACGTTGGATGATTGGTATCTTTGGTGGGAGGGCTTCAGCACTCACCTTGATGAAATGATACTGTTCACAAAATCCTGCTCCAACCCTAAACCACTCCGCGATTGAACTCACTCTGCCTGCGCAGAGCTCTTATCATGTCGGGCTGCTATCTGCTGCACGTGCGGGTCCTGCAGCGGACACGCCACGGGGGGGCGGTTCATTCAATTAAGCAGACAAGAGATGGATGACAGATCTTTTCCATCATGGTATTGTGATATATTGTGTCTACAAATGTCTACAGTATGTTTTAATACACTTCAATTTAGACATGTCTTAATTCTATCCAGGATATGTTAAAGTTATAGTGATAGTAAACACATCTAGTCTTGTCGTTTCTACGTTCTACATATATCATCATATATCCACTAACACGTCCTGCATCCGCTTCGGACCGCAAACCGAAAAAAACGAAGGAATCCTCAGGCGGTCCAGTCCCGTCTCCACGAAGACGAGAGGATGTCCAGTCCCGGCTCCACCTCCCCCGGCCCCGGGTCCCAGAGCCCGATCATCGCATGGGCGGACGTGATGCCGCGCGGACGACCCGAACCCGGTTTAGGGCGACCGACTGTGACCCGTGAGCCCGGCGTCGAAATGGGACGACCTTTTTGGACCCGTTCAAACAGTGCTGAGAGTGCTGAGGTCCGAAGTCCGTGTCCAGGTCATGAGCTCCAGGTGACAGTTCTGCTTGGAGTGCGAGCTCCACACTGGAACCGGGGTCTCTCACACGTGCGAGTGCTTAAATGGAGGAGCTCTGGAGTGGGAAAGGATCTACTCACTAGGCTGTGTCTCAAAACCCAATGAAAAAACCTCTGCAAAACTTCTGTGAACTTCTGGCTTCCAGAAATCCTTGATGCTTCACAGGTCCAGGGGGTCCTGCCCCGGTGCTTTTTGGCGGGGTCGACTCCGCACACACAGAGTCTTCCCCGAAAAGAAGTGCCTGGATAGAGCCTCATGATACCTCTATAGCCATCCTGGAGTAGATGGACTGGCCCGTGCTTAGTAGGGAATGAGGGTGGCTGGATCCAAAGGAATCTCCTCTGGGGGCTCAACTTTCCTTATTCCCCACAAGCCGTACCAGTCAGAGAATATGGGAGAAAAAGAAACTCACCGGGTTGCAACACTGACACATCAGTCACACCCCTCCGTCCTCCATGGGGTTCAGCGCACCAGTCGCTTCCGGGTTCAGCGTGCTGGCCGCCACCACTGTGAGGCCCTGCATCTCGGTTGCTCCGTCGACCCAGAAAGCCACCAATGAGGGTTCTGGGATCAAACGACCGAGAGCCTGGTTTGATAAGGAAACAAGTGGTTTTAAAAAGTAATTGCAGTAATGGGATGATTTGGGGTGGTTAGAGGTCCAACATGCGCAAGTCGTGTCAAGTTCTAGGTATCCCAACCGCCAACCCATGGGTTGGCCCCTGCTTCGATACCTGCTTGCAAACCCTGGACAAGAGTACTCAAGAGAAGCTGGCACATGCTGGCACTTGGGGCAACAACAAAAGCTGGCTGGATGGCTTGGTGTTTCTCTAAAAGGAGTTTCTCTAAAATAGTGATGTGCTTCTTTCCCGACTCTTACAGATAAGTTCGTACAGGCACAACCCATTGGCCTAATGGCCGAATGGCATCAGGGAGGGCTACATGCGGACAGCTGCGTGGGCGCCATGTTCGATCGGATCCTATTAGACCGGAGGCGACGACAGAGCACAGGCGCGAGGCATGGTCTTCGGGGCGTTGGGTCTTCGGCGACCGAAATGCCGACCGAAATGCCGACCTTGAGGAGGTGCCAATTGGCGAAGACTACCATGTTCGAAGTAGACTTGTGAAGCGAGTCTCTCCCGGCCAAGTGGCGACGTTCGAAAGCAAAGCGTCTACGACGTTGGAAAGCGATTCCCTCACCGCTTGGCACCGAGACCCAAGACCGAGACCGAATCGAAGTTGGGCCGGAGGGCATCCGCCGGTGTGGTGTTTTCCGATCCAAAACGGTTCGAATGCGGACCAGGACCATGCGACCGTCTGGGTGTCCGGATATCCCGGGGATGTGGTGGGCTGGGTAGTCTAAGTGGAGTGGTGGGCTGGGTAGTCTGGTAGTGGTGGACGCCCTTGGATGGTCCAGGCACGTATTCCCATCTATCTCGTCCCTCTAAAACCCTGGAGCAACGTGGACTGCCCGGAAGCACCTTGCCCGGAAGTGCTGCCAGCCACCGGAGGAAGGCGTTGCTCGGGGGCTCATAGATGGAGAACTGGATCCTGGAAAGGGAAAATCAATGGATTGGAGAGTGGAAGATCTACAGTCCGAGGAACCCAAACTCTTCAGTTTTTCTATTTGGCACCAAGTAAGTTCAGGTCGGTTTTCCTGCACCCCTTTGACAAGGCTGATGCCTGTCGATCTGACGAAAAGAACCGAACCGTTGCGACTCACTACCGGTGCGTCGCATTGAAAGGGAAGAATATGAAAACGTTAGAGGGCGTAGCATGCTACATCATGTCATGTTGTGTAGGGCAGGATGGTGTCTGACAACACCCTCAAGAGACTGTGAGACTGATCAAAAGGGAACATGGACCGGAAAAAAAAATGGTTGGATGGTCTTCCCACTTTGAGGCAAAGCCACATGCTTTGTGTCATTCGTGGTTGGATTGAAAAACCACTCCAAGCATCTACCACATCTTCAAATGGCTGGTCTTGCAAGGCCTGGTACTTCACGGATCCAGTTTGTGCACCACTTCGAATTCGCTCCCCAAAACAAGGGTCCCTGTCTCTGACATATTGTCGCCGCCTTCGTTCACCGTTTTTTCGGATCTTCTAGATCAACGACTGAGCGCGTCTCTGACCTGCATCAAAGACTGGATCCTTTTGCCTCTCTTTTGTCTCTTAGGCCTCCTCTGGAAAACCCATCCCAAACAAGTACAGTCTCAGTAGTTTGGTCAGTTTGGTAGAGTATCCGGTCACTTCCTTAAGTCCAGGATTCGCGGCGCATTCGCGGGAGAACAAACATGGAAGTGGAGTCCATTCAAGTTTATCCTGCTCGGTCCGGACCACTTACCTTTTTCTAACACATCTCCCGCGTCGTTCACGGCGGGCGTCGTTCACGTCCCCTGCTTCACCAGTTGGACCGAAAGAACGAATTCCCAGCGGCCAAGCGTCTGCAGAGCCACCGGCTTCACCTGACCATGCTCCCAAATCTGCTGAAGTTCCTGGGAGGCTTGGACCGGCCACCTTTTCGGTGGACCGATTGGTGGTGCCGTACGTGTCTCTATTGGTGTTGCGAAGTCGGCACGTTGGCGGAGAAGAGTGAATGTTTTGGGGGGGTTCGATGGTCTTGAGATTGGAAGATGTTCCCCCCTCCTTCAGAGATGATTGATTGATCGATCGATCGATCGATCGATTGATTGCTTGCTTGATTGATTGATCGATCCATCGATCGATGGAT